ATGCGTTCTTCACCCCGTGCTCGTGCGTCCCCGTCTGTTTCGGGCTCTTCGCATAGCTCTCTGAACGACTTGTTCGTTCCCCCCTCGCCTGTGCCCGACCGGTCCCGGAAGAGCGCGCGCCTGGCGTCCCAGGACGCTGGATCCGTCCGCACCTTCCTCGCGGCCCGTGGCGTCGTGCCAGGTCCGGATGCAACCCCGCTGCAGCTCCAGCGCCTCGTGGAGCAGCTGTCAGCGGATTCCGCCTCCCCCCCGGCTCCGGACTCCCCTCCTCGCAAGCGCCGTCGCAAGGCCAACCACCTGCCGCCAACGCGTGCCTGCCCCCCTTCCTCTGTGCTCGACGGGCCCCTGCTTCCCCCGGCTTTGTCGGCTTGCCCCGTGCCCGCCCCAGCGCCTTGCCCCATCGTCGTCTCCCGGGCCGCCCCCGCGGCTCCCGGCGTGCCCCTTCCCCAGCCGGATCCTTTCGCAGCAGCCTTCGCGGCTCACGTGGCAGCTGCGGCTCAGGACCAAGAACTCCTCTGCGCGCGCACGGACGCCATCCTGTCCGCGGTGTCGTCTCTCCAGAGCTCGGTGGCCGCAGTGTCCGGCCGGCTCCGCGTCGTGGAATCCCACCCTCCCACCCCCACCGGGGCTCCGGTGGCCGTTCCTACCGCTGCGCCTCCCGGCGGTTCCCCGGACGTCGGTTTCTCCCTCTCCACGGCTGTGGCTGCTACGGCGTCCGGTAGGCCCTTTATCAATGCTCACTCGAACGTTTCCCCGCGGCTGCGGTCTAAAATACTGCTGGGACGCTACATCAATTTAGTTTCCCTCATCCTCCCCTCTCCTGAGTGTGACAGGCAGGTGGCGGCCTCCTCCCTGGTCACTGCAGTCGTAAAGACTGCTGATCCCCGCCTCTCGCGGGAGCTCTCCATCGGAGAGTTTCTCGTGGCCTTCGGCGTGTACCGGGACGTCCTGTGCACCGTGTACCCCGAGCGCAGGCCCGAGCTGGATGCTTATCTGGGCCTAATGGGAGACTTGGCCCTCCGCTACGGCGGTTCACACTTCTACCGCTACCATCGGGCCTTCGCCGCCAAGGCCGTGGCCCTTGTCTCCCAGGCTAATGTCAGAGTGGACTGGGCGGTCCTGGACACGGAGGTCTTGCTGTTGTCCGTCGGATGTGCCCCCGTGGTCTCCTGCTCCCGGTGCGGCGCGGCAGGCCACAGCTCTCCCCTCTGCCCCTCCGTTCCGTTCGACGCCGCCGCTGGTCAGTTTCCTAGGCCCCGCGCGCCTTCGTTTCCCAAAGCGGAGGTACATGATCTGAACAGTCCGTGCCGTAATTTCAACACTGGCGTGTGTAACTTTTCATTGTGCAACTATCTCCACATTTGCAGTGTGTGCAGGGAGGCCCACCCACGTTCCGTGTGCCCCCGTCGCCCCCGCCCGGGCCGCCGTTCCGGGGGGCCTTCGTACAGGCCTTGATCACCACCCACCTCTCAACCCCAGTCTCCGTGCCCGCGCTGGCCCGCGCGCTCTCGCCCCATCCTGACCGGGCCTTCGTTGACTTTCTCCTGACAGGCCTGGCCCGGGGCTTCCATGTTGGAGTGGCGGCTCTCCCCTCGGCGTCCTACGTGTCCCGCAACCTGCAAACTGCTCTCCGCGAGCCTCTCGTGGTCACGCAGCTCCTCGCGCGGGAGGTGCACAAGGGCTACATCATCGGCCCCTTTTCCAGGCCCCCCTTTTCCCCGTTTCGCTCCAGCCCGCTGGGAGTTGCCACACGCAAGTATTCCGGGAAGAAGCGCCTTATTTTTGATTTATCCCACCCCCGCTCCGGACCCGTTCCGAGCATTAACAGTCTCATCCCTATTGAGCCCTTCTCTCTGCAGTACGCCACCGTGGATCACGCAATCCGCCTGGTGAAGGCATTCGGCCCTGGGGCCTGGCTGTCTAAAGCGGACATCACGGACGCTTTCAAGCTGCTGCCCATTCACCCCGACCATTGGCACCTGTTTGGAGTAAAGTGGCGTTCCGGCTTTTATTTTGCTGTGCGCCTCACGTTTGGCTGCAGGAGCAGTCCTTCTTTATTTAATAACCTTTCTGAGGCCTTGTGCTGGATTTTGTTGAACGACCTCCGTCTCCCCTCTGTTCTCCATCTCTTAGATGATTTTCTCCTCGTCGACCCCCCCGCGGACGGCTCCGGGGACTTGCTCCGTAGGCTGAAGTCGGCCTTCTCGGCCTTCGGGGTCCCCCTGTCCGAGGAAAAAACCGTGGGCCCTGCCACCGCCCTGGAGTTTCTCGGCATCCGCCTCGACACACGCGCCATGGAGGCCTCCCTCCCGCCGGAGAAGCTCCTGCGAGTGCGCGCTGTGTCGCAATCTGCCCTGTCCTCTCCCTCCATCACAAAACGTGAGCTGCTCTCCCTGCTAGGGCACCTCAATTATGCCATCCGCATCATTCCCCAGGGCCGCTCTTTTATTTCTCGTCTTCTCGCCCTCGCGGGTTCGGTTCCCTCCCTGCACGACACGGTCACCCTGGACGACGGGTGCCGCTCCGACCTGGACTTCTGGTCGCGCCTGCTGGACCGCTGGAACGGCATTTCGTTCTTTTATGACGATATCGTCCGGTCCTCCGACGATCTCCGCTTCTACACGGACGCTGCCCCGTCCGTGGGTTTTGGGGGATTCTATCAGGACCAGTGGTTCGCCGGGCCGTGGCCCGCTACTTTTCCCCGTAGCATCTCCTCGGCCTTACACAAAATCTACCACGTGGTTGTGGCCTGCGCGCTCTGGAGTCACACGTGGCGGAGAAAAAAGGATCTCCGTAATGTGTGACAATCTTGACGTAGTGGAAGCACTAAACAAAGGCCGTTCTTCTTCGCCTAACATTATGTCTTTTCTCAGACGCATTACATGGCTCTCTGTTTTGAATAATTTTATCATCACTGCACGCCACGTCCCCGGTCACCTTAATCAAATCGCTGACTGTCTTTCTCGCTTTAAATTTCAGGAGTTCCGGCGCCTCTGCCCCTCAGCCTGCACGGAGCCACGCGCAGTTCCCACCATGGACCAACTAACCCTGGACTAGTCTCACCTTCCTTCTCACACCTCCTCTCCTCTGCTTCATCATATATGAAAAAGGGCCTTTCCCCCCTCTACTCTATGTACATACAGCTCCGCATGGAGAACCTATTCCCTCTCTGCCACGCTCTCAACATCCCTTCATTACCTCCATCCGTTTCTACTGTCATAGCTTTCATAGTTCATTGCTCAGACAATCTCCATCATAAAACAACCTACATTCGTACGCTGCTCTCCGGCATTCAGTTCCAGGCCCGCTGTCACAACCCCGCCTTTTCCTCTCTATTCTCCGAACCCTCAATTAAACTCCTCTTCAAAGGCATTAACAAATGCGCTCCCCACTCTTCTGACCACCGGCTCCCCATCACGCTGCCCATCCTGGAACAGCTCTGCACCACACTGAACTCTGGCTCTTATTCCAATTACACGTCTGCTCTCCTTCGCTGCGTTTTCCTGCTCGCCTTTTATGGCTTTTTCCGCATAAGCGAGTTCACCACTGCTCACTCTACTTTCAATGCGGCCCTAGACATTGCATTTTCCAATCTGGCCTATTACCCTGACCATTTCGACCTCCGTCTCAAACATTCAAAAATCAAAGGAGCCTGCAATATAGTAATGGCTCGCTCGGACACATCTCTCTGCCCCTACAAATCCATGATGCGTTACATTCGCCTCCGCTGCAAAAAAGGAGATTTTAACGGACCTCTCTTTCTCACTCCAGACATTCTTCCCATGACAGCAACCTGGTTCAGAGCTCAACTAAGATCCCTACTGCTCCTCTGTAAATTGTCTCCCCAGCTCTACACAGCCCACTCCTTCAGGATAGGCGCTGCCACGCGCGCGGCCTCGCTGGGGCTCCCCCACACCTCTCTGCAACAGCTAGGGCGCTGGTCCTCTTCGGCCTTCTCCGCCTACATCCGGCCAGACGCGTCCGCCATCCTGGCTGCTCCCAGCAAAGCAATACAAAGCAAAGTAAGTGAACTATAAGATTCTGGTGGCGGCACGCACTTTAAAGATAACTCTGCTTCAACGCCTGGTATCGATCGTGATGCAAGCGCTCACGTCCCAGGCAGCGTCCGGTTGATCGTGATACGAGCACTCACGTCCCGGCGCTTAAAGGCAACTCTGCTTCAACGCCTGGTATCGATCGTGATGCGAGCGCTCACGTCCCAGGCAGCGTCCGGTTGATGTGACGCGAGCGCTCACGTCCCGGCGCGCAAAGATAACTCTGCCCGTTTTTGGGGATCATGCGTGCGAGCAAGTGCCGCGCTCAACAGAATCTCTCCCGGGCCTGAGGCGCCAAACATGCAATCAATAAAACTTCTAAACTGTATTTTCCTCTTGGGTCTCTCCAAAGTGAAATGAAGCTCTTCGCGAAAATTCACTGTGGTAGACCCGGCCGCTGCTGCCAGATCTACAAGCCTGCTCATCATCTACTCATCACACCAGCAAAACGCCCACATCTAATCCACCAATAACCACCAGGACAGCAAGTTTAAAAGCCGAAGACGCCCACTTCCCGGCCTTCCGAAATCTGCAAAGCCTCCGCCGCCCCACCTCCTCCTTCTCTCTGCGGAGCGTGCTCGCCTGCTGCCTCTACCGTCACCAGTGCTTAGGCCCCGGGGGGATCATGCGTGAGAGCAAGTGCCGCGCTCAACAGAATCTCTCCCGGGCCCGAGGCGCCAAACATGCAATCAATAAAACTTCTAAACTGTATTTTCCTCTTGGGTCTCTCCAAAGTGAATGTACTTTATGTTGCACACTTCCTGTCCATTTGCACACTCTGAGGGATTCGACCTATGACACACTTCTCCATTCTGGGATCCATCAAGTTGATCTTATTGGGGCAGAGCGGCTCATTGACAGGGGCAGAGTGCAGAGCCATACGACAGGACTGTTTGTGGACTTTTTCTTCCTTCTTTCTTTTATTGCACCGAATTATAGTGGTGGCTCAGTTGGTAGAGCATCAACCTCTGAGCCTGAAGGTCGTAGGTTCGAGCCCACCATGAGACCTTCTCCACCGACTTCCACTGATGTCTGCTGTGACCTTTGGCAAGACACTTAACCCCACTTTGCCTGAAGCCCCCACCATGGAGCTGCCGTTCTCCTGTGGACTCAGCACCCGCAGGACGATCAGTGAGAGGCTGGTGTTATGTGACTGGGCGGCATCTCTGGACACCCCCGATCTAGAAATGGATGGGTGGATATTATTATTATTATTATTATTATTATTATTATTATTATTATTATAGGATAGAAAAGATACAAGTGTCTAATGCGGCGGTCGCTCGTGCTGCTGCTGGAGCCGGACTTTCTTCTACAGGTTTCTCTTTTGTTGTCGTAGCCTCCGTGTGTCTGGGACTGGCCTGATTATTGTTCCAGTCTTAGCTTCCTTGATTTTTTAAACCAACCTGGATGAGACTAAAACAATTGCTCTTCAGTGTTCGATAATTGCAGTCATAAAAACAGTGTATTTTTCTTCTTCTTCTCCACTAATAAGAATGACAAACTGTATTAACATTTCCGACTCCCATCACTGACACCGCATGTTTCGCAGCTTTCTCTCTGGTCCATTCGTTTGCATGTTTAGCACATTATTATAATTCACCAGAGGATCTCCACTTCTGCCATCTGCTGTGGCCACGTTTCACTAAAACCCTGTAAATCTGCGACGGCTTTTCCCCAAGACTCAGACGATTAGACGAAGTTACGAAGCCAATAAGTGTTATCTAACCCAAAGTGTGTGGGGCATTTGAGTGTGTTGTGAGGAAGAGGCTGGAGCAGGTTGTGTTGAAGGCGGAGACTGGAGATAGGAGTGGGATTCTGGGATGTGAAAGGGCAAAGAGGACGACCACACGGACTGCACGTGGGTCTGTGACTGTTTCAGTGTGAGGAGACGTATGTTACTGTGAAAGGCTGTGGAAGGGCCCAGCCGGCGCCCTGACATTTGGGACATGTGTGTGACATTTGCAAAGTCGTCAAGTCGTAGGCAGAGATTTCAGAACATGAAAAATCTCTCGCACATTAAAGGTCCAATATTCTTCATTTTTCACAGTCCATCCTAATCATATGTGGGGCAATAATGACAAGATGAGAAAGTTAAATGCTCAGATTTCACCGGTGCATAATCATTTCAAAAGCATTACGTCGCTTAGAGTGCTCTGTCCTCCATCCAGAATCAGACCCTAAATATTTAGTTTACTGCAGAATACGGGGAGTACTTACAGATCTATGTCTCTTTAGCGTCTTTTTTATGGGAATAACACAGGTTTAAAGATCAGCTTTTGAGGAAGGCCAGTTTCATGGTAATCATAACTCTGGAACAGTCTTTGGAGAATATTGGTCCAGGATTTCAGAGACAGATCCTGTGAATAAAGTTGAGCCAAATTTGCTGCGGTCTTTGGGCTCAGTCAGACATGTCCAAACTCAGGCCCGTGGGCCAATTGCGGCCCTCTGAGCCTTTTTACGAGGCCCTCTGCTGCTAACACAAAGTCCCCATTGAGGCACCAACCAAGTTCAGCTCCACCCAGACAGTCATGATGTACCTCGATGTAAATCTCAGACCCTCTGGAATCCATTTGTTGATTTTATTGTTTTTCCTGACATTTGTTTTATGATTGTGTCACAATATTCCAAATAAAATGCAGCTGTGAATCCAAAAGGATACTGTATCAAAACATAAATTCCAGAATTCAGTCAATCAAGCTCAAATCCAGTTTTTTTAAATCCAGGTTGTCGGCCTCAGGTCAAGTCTGATGAACTAAAGTGGTCCTCTTACTAAAAAGTTTGGACACCCCGGGGCTAAATAGTGTCGACACATATTTACACCCATTTTCTCCGAGGTGAGATTCACAATTTTAGTCGGCAACAATAACAGAAAACAGTTTTGCTCGACGTGAAGGCAACACAGACTGTGGGAGACTCGGGACTTTGGCTGCGAGCGCCGAGTCACTGTTTTGACTTTTCCACCTGTCAATCACCTCGTGGAGGCGGGCTCTTCCCCCGGGTCTGTGTAGTGCAAGAAGTGAATCGAGTCGTTTTGCTGCCTCAGGAGAACGCAGGAGAAAGATTGCTCTCTGACTAAAGCCAGAAGAAATCAATGAAAAAACCTCTCTGGGCATTGGTATGAGGCCAATCATGTTTAACCGAAGTTGAGAAGCCTAATACGGGACCTTTAAGTTAGTCCCAACTCTACAGCATTTAGAAACGAGTTGCTTGGGTCTCTATCGGCAGGATGGATGTCACAGTTGACTAGAGTGCTCACTTTACAGCTAAATAGATTATTGCTCAATTCTGAATGTTGAAAGGACTTGTCTGACGAGGTCTTGTGCACCTGTGGCACTCATTATGGAAGAACACTTGAGAAAATGTCAAGCGATAGAGTACTCTGTGAGCAGCAGGAGTCAGGCTGAGAGCTCATTCAAGTCTCTGGTTCCTGAATGTGGATGGAGAAACCTCGGAACAAACTGTTTTCATTTGACATTAGTGCGGCTATAATGCAGAAGAAAAAAGTACACAAATCCCATTCTTTAGTATTTGCAGCGTATAATTTTCCACCTAATGTGACTCACTGAGGCTTTGCACAAAAGTCAAACAAAAAGTGTGGGGACGATAATAAAGAAAATAAGTTTGTTGTCCATTTTCGAATGTTTGCCAGAAGCTAATTCAAAGTTTACAAAGAAGCTACAGGCTGCGATTGTCCGAGCCACGACTCATTTAAAGTTATGATTACATTTTGTTATTAAACCAGGGCCCCACAGAGACAGAGCCAGAGCCGGAGACCAGACTCAAGGGTCTATTTGCACCGAGTACGAAATGTGAACGTCCTGAGTCGCAAAAGACCTGAGTAAAAAGACTTTACTAAAAGGTTTTGTGACTCTCTGTTATAATTTAGTTTGATTAGAGCCATAGATCCAAATATCCTGGTTCCATGGAGTGTGTTTAGTTTCTGGTGGGCTTTTAGACGACATTTAGAGGGAGAGTTGAGAGGCTTATGGACTCTGGTTTTCTGATGTAAGACTGTGGCGCACTGTGTTAAAAGCAAATAGTCCGAGCTCCAGATCGATAGTTAATTAACACCACACTGTGACACTTCTGATGCAGTTAAGTAAGATTTAAGATAAGCCTCTGTTAAGATTAAGATGAAAAGATTGTTTATTACTCAAGCAGTTACATCAAAAGTTACAGAACAGTAGGAATGAAGATCACGTACATAAGATATGTTAAAGAAGAAGAAGATAGACCTTTATTAATGGGTAAATATCAGTTTGATGAATACACATCAAGGCATGCAGCGTACATTAGTTCCGCGCGTCTCAGGCAAAGTGTGAAGGTAAAGTGTCTTGCCCAAGGACACAACGACAGCAGAGATAAATGGGAATGAGTGGAGAAGGTCTTGTGGTGGGCTCAAACCTACAACCTTCAGGCTGAAGCGCCAACGCTCTACTAACCGAGCCACTGCCACTCCAAAGCACAACTCTAGACTTTAGAAAAACTCAACAAAATCACTGTTTTAAGCTTAACAAAGAAACAAAGAAAAACCAATTAAAGAACATTGATTAGTATTTGACCCACGCAGTGAGACCCCAGTCCATGGAGCCCTCTCCTGCCTCACTGCTGGTGCTGGAGGATTGAATAGACCGGACCAGAACGACACCAACTCCTAACACTAAATGCTTTATTTACTCCCTCAGGATTCCTCCATAAACTGCCGGAGCCCTAAGCCGCAGTCGCCCCAGTCGCCCCAGTCGCCCCAGTCGTCCCAGTCTCCCCAGTCTCCCCAGTCTCCCCAGTCGCCCCAGTCGTCCCAGTCGCCCCAGTCGCCCCAGTCGCCCCAGTCGTCCCAGTCGCCCCATTGGCATCCCCCCCCTTCAGCTCCATGTGTCATTTCCTGTTGCGAACCTCATGGCAACTTTTCATTTTCAGCTGAACACATTTTTTTATCCTTTTTTTTATTGCACTGCGGCTCAGGGACGGGGATGACGCCATGACCACGCAAGTGCATTACGTTACCATGACAACGGACGGTGGGATATTCTCCGACATTATTTTTTTCTTTTTTCTCTCTTTCTTTTACCCTTACTACCCATGGCATTTAGACCTGACAGAACATGGAGACAATAGCACAGGAAGGAGACTCCCGGAAAAGCCGCTTTACAGAAAAGCACTTTGCGGAAACATGACGTTCTTGTTTCAATCCATTGAGTTAAAGTCAGTAATTAATGTGAGGCTGTCATCGCTGAGGTGACTCCGGTCGGACCATTGTGTGGAGGAGGCAGGAAATCCATTCAACTGAAGCAGAACAAAAAATATGAGTAATTACCTGAGTAAGAAGAAAATACATAATCCTTGATTCATGTTAAGTCCCTTTTTAATCTCAAATTATGAAAAACTGGGGATGATTTAGAAGAAAATTCATAATCCTTGATGCTACAGTGGCTCAGTTGCCTTTGAGCCTGAAGGTTGTGAGTCCGAGCCCCCCACGAGACCTTCTCCACCGTTCTTGGGCAAGACACTTAACCCACTCTATAAGGAGCGCGGAAGTATTGTTTGCTGCTTGCCGTGATGTGTGTTTTCATCAAACTGTGGGATGAATAAAGGACCTTCTTCTTCTTAAAGGGGAAAATGAAGGTCTAAGGTGAAAATCTAATTCAAACAATCCTGAACTGAACATAAGAACCGGACGAAGACTTATGACAATGGACCAGCAGCAAATGAGGAAGAGCACAGGTACATACACAGAGAGACACAGGTACAGTCTATGTTGTAGTTTGGTAATGGCGGAGAATGCGATAGTAAAATAATCTGTTCTGGTTCAATCCAAATATCAAGAAACTGAAGCCGGAGCAAGAGGAATGTTTAGTAAATGTCACTGAAGCAAATATGTTGTGGCTCTACTCCCCACGGGCTCCGTTTTTGGCAAAGGAGATGGCTAAAGCTAGGCTACATGCTAAAGCTAGGCTAAATGCTAAATCTAGGCTAAAGGCCTCACTCACTCGGGCTCATTACATAGGTCACAGTAAACTCAGATCCAATGGTTTCAATCTGCAAAAGGAGTTAGCCCCTCCCACCTGTTAACGGAGTCAATGGAGACAATCCAGACCTTAGTATGAAATGAAATGAGTACAATGGTGTGGTAAGACCAGGCTAAAGGTGAGGATGAAGTATAATAGCTCTTGTTTCCTGCCTCACACAGATCAAGTCTATAACGACCTACTCTCTGGGACAGAATCACACAGACCTCTGTTCGAATATTCAAAGCACTCTTTATTCAAAGCCATCTGTGACGTCTGACATTTGGCCTCGTCTAAACGTGGTCAGAAATCTGCTTCATTAACCGCACAAACATGACAGCACTATTCTCCGTGTGTGACCTTACACAAAGGTCTCGCTGTTTCTGCTGGAAATCAAACTCCAACTCACAAACAATAAATAACCTTTTCATTATATTTTGACCCGTTCACTGCTGATCAAAGTGCTACGATAACGAATGTTTGTGGACGACATATTTATTGCATTAAACGAAACAAAAATGCCGTTCATGGAAATACATTCAGCAGGATGGTCCTAGTGCATTTCTACATTTCATTAGAAAATATGAGTTATGAAAATAAACAGCTGAAAAAAACAGTTTTTACTCACAATAAAATCTCAATATCTACTTCTATCTCTACGATAATGATAGTAATGAATTGGTTTTATACAGTGCTTTTCAGGACACTCAAAGACACTTGAGATGATAAACTACTGTAGCCAGAGCTGCCCTGGGGCACACTGACAACCAGTCCCACCACCACCACACACCAGACTCATTCTAATGTGGATGAAGTGTCTTGCCTAAGGACACAACCACAGTTTGGCATTTTACAACCACAGCTGCCCCACTGAGATCTCCCACCACAGCACTAACCAGGCCCTGCCCTGCTTAGCTTCAGAGGTCTAATGGGATCTGGCTTTCACCTGCAGGTTTGGCCACGATAAATCAAGAGCCTCAAAATATATCATAACATTGTGGCTCTAGCTTCTCACCAAGAAGGTTCGATTCCACCTCCAGACTGATTCTTTCTGAGTTTGCATGTTCTCCCTGTGTATGATTTTTCACCTACCTCAGTGGTGATTAGCTTTAGCAAGATCTCCATCAAATTCTGTATTTATTTTGACCAAAACAACACTTCTTTTAACATAATTACAAGCGTGGACTGAACCAAAACCTTTTATTATTATTATTATTATCATTATTACTATTATTACTGCAGACAAACAGAACAATCAATATCATTTTCTATTCCAATGATGTATAACATGCCATAGTCGCACGAACACAAACCGCTTTCTATCAATGCTTACAATGTTTTAGAATAATTTCAAATACCCCTTGCATTAATCCTAGCCCTAACACTAAGGATTCAGAATATAGAAGTATTTTGCAGAGAAGAAACAAATGTAACAGCACAACAAGAACAAACAAATATGAAATAATCCAACACTCTCTCATACTCCTCAGCAGCAGCAGCAGCAGGAGCAGCAGCAGCAGCACAGAGCCTGATGATTCTCGGGGTCCTTATATTAGAGGTGTTTGTCGTTGGTTTGTGCTGGTGGGAGGTGAGACTTCGCTCTGATCTCTCCAAGTCTCAAAGTCGAAAGGCAAAGATCAACGACCAGCTCCTCCCACGCCTCCAGACGATTGGACGGTTATCCATGTGGCAGCAATTTGACCCAGGCTTATTAAGGCTGTTAGGAGCTGGGTCTAAGCAATAGTGATGCAATATGGTAACAGCAGATTTGATTATTAATGTAACTAGTGTTAATAAGTGTCTGTGTGTTTGCTAAAGTGAACTAAACCTCTAACATTGTCCATTCTATATGACTCTATATGACTCTATATGTGTCTCTTACTACTGTCCTGTCTGTGCGCTGCAACCTTGACATTTCCCCCACTGTGGGACAAACAAATGATCTCTATCTTATCTCACTTTACAGCTGAAGTATTGCACCTGGACTGATAAATAAACCTTTGGATATGTTCACAGAGGTACTAATGCAGCTTAAGCGCAAATTCAGCCTGGTAGACTATCTGCTGCTCATCTAGGGCCGGCCCCCTTTTCTCTCAGCCTATCACAGAGCTCTGCCGATATTCCTGTCAACCTGGGCCAATCAAACCAGCAGTTTAAAAGCAGAAAACTCCCCGACAACTATTAAAAAAAGAGATAATTTATTCGTCCCACAGTGGGGAAATTTCAATGTTGCAGTGCACAGACAGGACAGTAGTAAGAGACACAGGGAGCACACACATTATACAGAATAACTGCCATGCTGTAAATGCTTTAATACCAATCTTTCAAAATATCACTCTGCATATAGTGCAAAGTTATGTACATATAGAGCAGGGTAAGTACATAAAGTCATGTTCTGAATTGCACCTTATTACAGTATTTACTATTTACAGATGACATGTACAGACTCAGCAGTTCTCATTGTACAGTCTGACAGCAGCAGAATGAACCAATGCTTCTTTTGACCAGTAGGGGGCGTGGTCTCAGTAGCAGGTGCTTTGTGCACGTGATTGAGAAATGACAAGAATATTCATCTGTGAATGTTTGTTTCAGTCAAGATTATCCAAAAATATACTTTTATCAACTATAATTAAGTTCCCAATGAAGACGCAACTTTCGATTTAGAATATTCCCGGTTTATTTTTGTTTATATGTGACTATAGATATGTGACTATAGATATGTGACTATAGATATGCGACTATAGATATGTGACTATAGATATGTGCCTATAGATATGTGACTATAGATATGCGACTATAGATATGTGACTATAGATATGTGACTATAGATACGTGACTATAGATATGTGACTATAGATACGTGACTATAGATATGTGACTATAGATATGCGACTATAGATGTGTGACTATAGATATGTGACTATAGATATGCGACTATAGATATGCGACTATAGATGTGTGACTATAGATGTGTGACTATAGATATGTGACTATAGATATGCGACTATAGATATGCGACTATAGATGTGTGACTATAGATGTGTGACTATAGATATGTGACTATAGATATGTGACTATAGATATATGACTATAGATATGCGACTATAGATGTGTGACTATAGATGTGTGACTATAGATATGTGACTATAGATATGCGACTATAGATATGCGACTATAGATGTGTGACTATAGATGTGTGACTATAGATATGTGACTATAGATATGCGACTATAGATATGCGACTATAGATGTGTGACTATAGATGTGTGACTATAGATATGTGACTATAGATATGTGACTATAGATACGTGACTATATGTGACTATAGATACGTGACTATAGATATGTGACTATAGATGTGTGACTATAGATATGTGACTATAGATACGTGACTATAGATACGTGACTATATGTGACTATAGATACGTGACTATAGATATCAGTCAAGATTATCCAAAAATATACTTTTATCAACTATAATTCATTTCCCGATGAAGAGGCAACTTTCAATTTTGAAAATTCCCGGTTTATTTTTGTTTATTGAAAACACCCAGAATTTTGCAACTCTATTTCTGTGTCCGCCGAGTCTCCCCAGACTGAAGTACGTTTCCTTTCTCCAAC